CTGCAGCCATCCCAAAATTTGCTATTGGCCCCTCCCAGCACTGTTACTGCCTATGCCAAGCACAGCCCAGCCCAGACCCACGCCGGGAAGAGCATAGCACTACCCCAGCCCACAGGTGAAGCCTGTGAACCAGCCAGCCTCACCCTGTGAACAGCTACCCCTGCCATGCCCTCCCAGGGGTATGTGTAGATTAATGAAGAACATGTGGCATGTCACAACTTACCCTGCAATTAACATGTTTAACGTGTCCATGAACTCCTTTTTCCCCCCTGCCCACCCACCAGATCCACTGGCATTCTTACTGCCCAACGTACATGGCATCTCCTATAGATAATGACAGTCTGTTGGTTCAATAGAAATAATGTTAATCACGTGATAAGTGTAACATCTGCCAGAGATTTAAGTGACCAGGTACACACACACTTATGCTGTTAGACTGCTGCCCTCCCACAACCCTTCCAGTCCTACCTCATTCATACAGTGGGACATCCCATTTTTCTTCCCCAGACCTCCTCTTTCCAATGCTGTTTCTACTACTTATAGGACCCTAGCCTCATTTTCATTTTTTTAAGCAACTACAAGGCAGATACGTCTCTGAGAAAGTCATTTGGGAAGAAGTTTCTCCTCTTTTTTCTGACAGTCAAGTAATGTCAAAAAGCTTCTACAGTAGCCCAACTAGATATTTTCTCAAAGTTTAGATCTTCTGCATTTCTTCTCACAAGGTTGTAGAAAGAAGGAATTGTTCCCATATCCATTTCAAGGAGATGAAAGTTACTGTAAAAAATATCCAGTCCATGCTTTGCTTCATTTCAAATTTAATTACAGAAAGACTGCATCATAATTATTAGCTATTTTGGTAGTCAAGCCAGACCACTGGAATTAGAGAGCAGATATTTATATAGAATGTGAGGCACATGAAAGAAAATGCTGACTTACCTCCATAAATCTGGTCTATACAATGCAGAGTTATATCATTTTCTCCTATGACCTTATTCTTAAATTGTGGTTCCTGTAAGAGGAAACAGTGTTACACAATTTCCCAGTATACTGATTTTCACTTAAAAGCTGCCATCTTTGAATTCAACAGATATATTTATTCTAATGACTAGTTTTTATCTAATTTGTTATTTTCACCAATTCAGTGTTATTCCAGTACCTATCCCTGCTTCCCCCCCAAAAAATTCTGGACCCAAATTACTTAGCCTTTCAAATATGAAAGCTGCTATCTGACCTGCAGAATTAGTTATTGCTGCTGGTATGTGTATAGATGAAAACCCAATTTGATTTTCAAAACCCAAGAGAGCTTGCAAAGCTCATAGTTAAGGATTTTCACTTTTCAAAGCATGTGTTTTAAGACAACAAAGTCAATTAAATGCCATCTTGCCAGCTTTACAATCATTTTTCATATAAGAACAGTTATGTGGTAGAAAATATCTATGTTCACACAGCATGTGCCTGTGCTTACAATGAGGTAAGGGATGTGGACTTGGCTCAGAAAGAGCTGTTAAGGGAACTGAGCAAAGAAGGTAAAAACATAGATAAGGAACATAAAAATATTCAAACAGCCACATTTATAGCTGAAAAACATCTGGGCCCCAAATCTTGGCACAGAAATTTGCCAAGCCTGAGAAGAAAATTCAAAGGCAACATTAAGACATTTGAAGACACAAAAGGGTGGTGGCTGAACAAGTAAGAGAGGGGATCCTGGGAGCTTCAACACCGTCAAATGAGTATAACAGCCAGCAGGTCAGCTAGAGAACACAGAAATAAAAACACATCATGCTGTAAGACAGTTTTTCCCCAGCCAGGGGTAAAATTAGCTGGGCTAGTAGGGCTGGGGGTTTGGTTTGTTTGTTGGGAGGGAAATCTTACCAAAAAGTAAGAAAGAAATATTAATGGGAGAGAATATTCATGTAGGCTCCCCCCTGCACACCTCCTCCTTTGCGCCTCTGCTATAAAATAGTGCTTAGTTATGAAAGTGCAAAGCTGCTTTAGTCAACTCTAGTTATAGGTGCCTAGTAAGTGGGCCTCCACGTGAATGCTACTGGGCTGGCTGTAATTTAGAAAGCCAATCCATGACTAGTTGGACCTTTTGGTTCAACAAGAAAAAATACAGAAGACACAGCCTGCTACCTAACAGACAATGAGTGAAGAGGGTCCTATAAAAAGGTAGTACCCTGACTACAAAAAGAAATCCCTGCTCTATTCTGATTCAGTGGAGAAGAAATACAGTACAAAAAGGTCATTTGAAAGAAAAAAAATCATGGTTTTTGAAACAGCTCTCCACACTATTAGAAAAGGAACTACCCCTGCTAGTCACTTCATGCCAGAGAGGATCTTGCATAGGCAATTATGGATACAGTTTGGAGTGGAGTGAAAAGCTAGTACTTGAGACTTCTACACATCTTTCCTATCAAGTCATTTATTGTTTCCTCTGGTAAAGGAAAAAGAAAGAGTATGTAGCAAGACACATGCATTAAAAAAATACACCAAACCACTTTCAAGGCTATGCCACATGAGGCTTATGTTCCTACATTATCATCTGAGGCAGACTCGTAACCCAGGAAAGCGACCTTGAAGTTTGTGCAAACAAGTTTCCCATAGGTGCCTCGATTTGACCCATCCTCTTGAACATACTTGAACACTGTGCTTGCCTCACAAAGCAGCAGTTCACCTGATTAAAATAAAAAAAAGCCAAAAAAACTGAACTTGCAGCATAACATATATTCTACATAGTAAAATATTTTAAATCAACTACTTAGTTCTGAGTTGCAGGGTTTATCATCATTATTATTTTCTTGTCTTGAAGATACGTGTCTTTCAAATGGTTCAGTCAGGGATGATCCTACCTTGAGCAGCGGGCTAGACTGGACCTCATATGACCCCTTTGAGCCCTACTTTCCTATGATCCTATTTTACAATAGTGGCCAAACACTAAAGAAATGGTTCAAGGGATTGAAAAAGCTACCATCTAGGTAGCTGTAGACTCAAAGTTCAAAGGTCTGGTACTGAACAGTTCTCATTTGTAGTGAGCTGATGGTCTTAGATTTCCTAGCAAATGCCCAGGTCTTAATTTGTACCCTAGCTGAGATGAGTTGAGAGGATGAACATAAAGAGTGAAACAGGTTACTGCAGGTCTGGAAGTGGCTGGAGAAGCTTAAAGTAACTCAACTCTTTAGTCCCCAAGCACTCAAGCAAGCCATGTGCTTTTCATGCCATTTGAAATATTAATCAATTCTTTTACTGTCAAGATTATAAAGATTTTAAATACAGGGTTCTCATGCTTTGAATTGTTCCTTGCCACAAGAATATCTTGTTTTATGTTTTTACTGGGTTTTTTTAACTATTCCTTTGCCTGTGTTTTTACCACAGAAAGAATGTTCAGTCTTGCCTAGTTTTGTTCAAAGGCACCAATATCTCATTTGAAGGGGAAAAGGAATAAATCTTTACCTGTGCTATGTATTCAAAATGCTGGTAGAGGAGTCTAAATAAGTGTTAAAACAGAAGCACAAGTAATACTGAACTAAGAAATTCTTTCCCTTTCAACTGCTCAGCTTTACTTGGCTCTTGCAAAGCCACTATTTCACTAGTTTTTCAATTGGTCTTCCAGCCTAGAAGACAGTCTAATTCCTCCTAAGTCTTCTTTAGAAGGCAAAGTAAAACATGGGCACATTTTTCCCCATGCAGGGCAGCTGCAAGCACAGTACTCTAAAGAATTAATGGAAACACCAACTTGGCATTTTAGAACAAACCATGCAAGTGTAAACATTTAGTACATTCAGCCTGTGCAATTACTTACCCCAAATCCTTCATTTTACTACTCAAGACACTGACGCCACTTCTCAATTGTTTGCTGCCATATCTACATAGTAACACCTACATGAGATGACAATTTTTGCATTCTGAAGTTGATACATGAAAATACAGGAGTTACCTGGTAGCAAGTAAGGATTTACTTCTTTTCCTGCAGGTTCCTTTATATGAATTTCCTAAAAGAAAGGGAAAAATGTCATTGTTCCTTTGTAAAGAACTTAAAAAGGCCTAGCATGCCACTAATGCATTGTACTCTAGATTACTTTGGGTATCTGTAAAGCACTGTTCAATGGAGAAGGCACAAAAAAAAAAAAAGCCTTCAAAATCGAAGCAGTCTTCCTTAACTTGCCTTTGTGACTAACTTTCAATAAGTTAAACAGAGGTAAAAGCAGTTGCAATAATTTCACCCTCTAGCCTCTTGTAGTTTGTACAGTTAGAATATCTCAAATTGTTTCACTATTTTGTAAAAAGCTTGAAATAAGTACATAGTGAGTTCTCTAAACACTGTCAAATGAACTACATAAAACATCTAGTTTGCTATTAGCAAAAAGTTTTTTAAAATTCTAAAGGAATACAATACATTTCCTCTACTACTTTGTTTGGTGAACTCCTTTGAAGCAGGGGTGCTCACCTCCTCCCCAATCCATCCCAGCAAGGCAGGGGGAGATCCATACCAGTGACCTGGCTAGAGGTGCCAAAACCATGAGAACGCCTGCTTTGAAGCCATGTGTCCACCAGTAAATCTGGCAACTTGGTAGCCATAATTTGTCTTATTTATTTATAATTAATTAATTTATATATTTTACAGATTTTTCATTGAAGGTTAAACAATGTTACAAAGCCCATCTAGCATCCGTTTCTGAAATAAAACTTGAAACATTAGAAATTCACAAGAAACCTTTAGCACAAGAAAATGCCTAATTAAGGTGCAGAGTAAAGTAGGATCCTTTCATCTTCCCCTCTGCAAAAAGAAACAAAACATGTCTCTATGCACTACCAGAACTGCAGTATTAGAGGCCAATATAAAATTCTGTAAAAAAGTATGCATCCTCTTAATGTGATTTACTGTATATAGTAATCAAAGATAGTTTTAAAAAAGTTACCTTAAAAACACTATTAACATCAAATATCAGAATATATTGCTGGATATATAAGAAGCTCAGAGCCAGGGATGGAAGCCCCTTAAACTGGACAAGCCTTTGATTGATCAGGTACATAACCTACATAAAAGGTAAGGTATCTTCTTTGGGACCTCTATACTATCCTACTGGCTTAGGAAGAAAAGCATGACTATGAGTCTCCCCCAATTCAAAGAACATTAAAGCCAAAGGACATGCAACACCCTTCCTACTCAGTCATTTCATAAATCCACCCCATCCTCCCCCACCTTGCTTCCACACACATGCTGCCTCTGGAATCACAAGGTGCTTTATGTCTCGCACTGATTTCCATGATGAGTGAACTGAAAAACCCAACTGGACCACGGCTACAAGCAAACTAAAAATATACTCCACGCTGGTATCCACAATAAACAGAAGACAACCTCTTCCCGCGTTTCCCCCCCCCCCGCGCAAAACATATTAGCAGGGGCAGGCAATTATTTTGGGTGGAGGGCCACTTACCAAGTTTTGGCAAGCCATCGAGGGCCGCATGACAGGCAGCCAAGGGCAGATAAATATTAATTTTCTAAATTTTTTAGGGGCCCTGTGGATAGAATGGCCTGGTGGGTCGCATCTGGCCCACGGGCCGCATTTTGCCCACCCCTGAACTATAGGCATACTTCTTGGTAGGCTAAAAACAAAAGGAATATCAATCTCTTACAAAGTCATGAACGTGACTAGAGATGCTCGTCGTAACCCAAAAGACTTAACATGTTAACAAGTAGCTTTGCCATGTTGCATCTACCAATCTAAAAAGAACAGGAACTGTTTGCAGGACAGCAGCCAAGAGGATTTTCAGAGTGCAAACTGCTGGAACAAGGAAGGAAGGGGGAAAAAAAAAAAAAGCAGCTATCCTTTTAATTATGTAAGGAAGAAAGCCAAAAGAAAAATGCAAGCCATAACATTATAGCTAAGAAAGGAAAAGCCTACATCACCCAAACACCCATTTTTGTTTCAGACCTGAAGTTATCTTTTGCACACAATTTTGAGAATGGCACTAAAGAACTTGGGCATGACAAAAACAGATTCTTGGTCACAATTATTCTGCATGCAACAAGTACATTCAATCAAATTAGATACTACTGTGTGAGCCCACATCAAAACTAAAAAACCAAGTGCCATGCTCTTCCCCTTTTACAACTCTACTAAATGGTGAACAGGTTTACTAAACTATGTCATCTACCATTGCCGCCACTTGAAGTTATAGATGTAAATTTTTAGAGCAATCAGCCAAAGATTTATGCAAGCCATGTTTATCTACATAGGCAAGCCAACTTCCCCTTCTGCAGGAGGACAAGAAAGGACAGCACTTTTCTATTCCGTTCTGCTGTAGCAGATACAATATTACCCACAGTGAGCAGGGCAACTTAAATAGTCGGGATTTGTATCCCACTAGAGGTATGCAGGTGCTGAGAGTGCGGGAAGGTGTTTAGAAGTTTAACCTATGCTGGAGGACTCAAAAATAGTCCCCAACTGCTGCTACCACTGCCACAGTCTGCCTGCCCCAGATGTTGCTCTTACGGCAACAGCTCAGTGTCTGGGCACCTGGCTGCTGCAAGAGCTATGCTGTAGGGCTGCTATTTGTGCCAGGCCACAGACCAGGAAGAGGGAGGGGGAGGGGCAAGTCTGAAACCCCTAAGTTGGTACCCAGGGCTGATGCCCCCCTCACCACCCCTACTTATACTACTGATTCCAGTTTCACAGCTTTATAGCAAAAGCAGCACTGGATTTTTATTTTTAAATATTAATAAAAACAGCACACTAAGCCCCACCCCTTTAAAAACAAAAAACAAACAAACAAACAAACAATATTTTTTTATTGGGTAAACCATCCAAAGGATCATCTGTCTACCAGGAAACAATCTTAACATGCCAGTTCCTCATCATTCAAGTTGCATTTGCTTGAGAAAACTGCTAAACTACTATAATGGTACCACAACTTAAAGAAGATTTAAAACAGTTTTAGCAATCTTATTAATATGCATTTAGTTTCAGGTACTGACTGATGAAAATTTGAAAACCAACTATTAAATATTTAGAACTTCTACATGTGCAATGAAAATACAGTCTCAATTTTAGACATTCAGAAGCTTTTCCAGGAAAAACAAGCATGGTCAAATTTTACATTCCTTTTCTTTTTTTCCACTTGTAAGACAAATTAAAAGAAGAACTTAAGTAATCTTGTATTTGATGTATAAAAGAAAACACGTTTTAAGATCACCATTAAGTAGATTCATAGGATATCTGAGTGATTGTTGGCTTCATTAGTGGATAGTAATGTCATTTAAAGTTGTATATTTGACTATTGAGGTTGGGGAAGGTGGGGAGAGAGTGTAAATAAGCCTCCTCTCTCTAGTGCAAGTTACTTTCCTCCTATAATATCCATTTTTTTTTAAAGGGCAATGAAATTTTGCCATCTGGAATGTCTAAATATTTAACCTTGTAACTGGTATTAGACCCAATGCTTCCCTCTATTTCAGTAAAAATTCTATCCTTTCCTGACTTCAGCTCCAACACCACCAAAAAACCTTTTACTTGGCCACCTGAGGATACCTGTAGACATCCAGGAATGCTGCTCCAACCCTCTGTAATTACACCTCTCCAAGCTGGTCTAATTAAAAGCACCCCTCCCCCAACCTCCACAGCACATGTAAAGATGCCCTAAATTCATTGGTTTCTTCATCAGTTCCTGTGAACTTGAACTTCAGGAACCCCACACCGAACAAAAAAAATTTTTTTCGTTAGGACTTTAGGAACTTACAACTTGTTTAGAAGTCCCCAAAACCCGAAGTTAAGAATGCTTTTTCTGAACCAAAGCAACCCCCAATCCTAGAAATGTAGCATAGATACTACTTCTTCTATACTAGCCATGAATACTTAATTGCCTACTATCAACAAAAGGAATTAATTATGCTATAGAAGAATAGCGAAAGGCAAACACCTTCTCCTGTACCATAAAATGCATCCAGTTTTCTGTGCAACAGCAACTGCTAGACTATGAGGTTACTGGAGTTTCAATTAAGAATTGCATTACTCTTATCCCATGTGGGTACATTTTTCTCATGTTAAATGTATACGCATGAAAAGAAGTATAAGTGGGTTTTTTTATAATGAAAGCACAAGTGTTCTGAAGCTAAGACTCCCTGCATGTTTGTGCAGGATAGTAACTCTCAGAAGTTTACACCACTTTGTCAGCTGAAAGGTAGAATTCAGGCAATAAAAGTGCTGATCAAGTGTTGTACTATTCAACTGCTGCCCATGGGGACTCAAATCCTTTCAGCTCCCTCCTAAGGCAGAAATTTTTCCTAATTTAAACATCTTATACCAGGCTGTAGTCATTACCCGTTTTCAAAAAGATACTGAATCTCTAGCTGACAGATTCTCAGTATATGCTCACAAATTACTTGTAACACAACACAACACAACACAACCCCCACCAGTCTAAATCTTGCTACGGTAAGCAGCACTCGCCTTAAGTAAAGCAAGGGGGATGAAGTAGTGTAGCTCATTTGATACTTCCCATATCTGCCAGTATGCTATGTTTTTAAATCAGATTTTTGAATGAAGCACAACATGGAGATAAACACTGAAAATACTACCACTTGGTAGTGGAGAGTGGCCATTTTTCAATGATTACCCATTCCTCCCCCTTTGCATTCCCAAAGGGCATGCAGTGTAACACTGGGGAACTGCTCCTCTTCATCAAAGTCCCTCCTGAAGACAGATTTTACATTTCTAAGTTTTTGAAATGTTACACAAGAGAAGATAATGAAGGACACACTCATCTAATGTATGCTTCAGCTGTCTCAAACAGAAGACTTTTTTTGTTTTTTAGCTTCCACCAGTGAAATCTCAAATCATTAAACTAAGTCACTCTGGATTTACTGCATATAAGTTAAGTGTCAAAGGGTGCCAGGAAACTCAGAGATGAGTATTTCTATTATAAAATTACTGCCCTTTACCACGTATCTTTACAAGTAGGATCACAGAAAAGTAAAGCATCTCAGGAGGTCATCTAGTCTAGCCCCCTGCTCAAGGTAGGATCATCTCCAACTAAGCCACCCCAGCCAAGTGTTCATCTAACCTGCACATAAAACATCCAAAGATTACACAACCTCTCTTGGGTTTTTCCAATATTTAACCACCTTCATTTCTAAGAAGCAGTTTTTTGAAACCTCTACAATTTGGAAGAAGGGTTTCTCATAGATCAAACTACTGATCCGATTAAGTTAATTTAAAGGAAAAAAAACAGATGTTGGGGTCAATGCATAATAATGGTCATGCATAATAGAATAAATTCCTCTCCTTTCAGTAGCACATATCTTTATTCTTACATCTATCCACAAACATGACAGGACATTCAATTTTTCTGAATTAATATTATAGCGGTAACTCTTGCAACCACACAATTTACATGGTTTTGTCTCAACACTATTTTAACATTTTCCTTTGGAGTTTAACAAATAAAAATAAAAAAACCTGGAGCACCCATTTACAAAGCCTGTGAGCCCCAATAGGATTAATTTGTTATCATAAATGCTCAG